TTCCCTATGGTAATGTTTCATGCAAGATCAAATATTTAGATTATTCGTTTGGCCTGCTAAGCGAGATCAGAACTAAACGGAAAAGAGAGAGAGAGAGAGACTGGATCAGAACAGTAAACTAATTGCACGTACTTGTGGACTTCTATCTCACCAAAGAACTCCTTCTGCCTTTCACGAATTCTCTTTTGCCGCTCTTCTTTCATCTTCAACTCATACTTCTCAAGTTGCTTAATCCTCCGTCCATGTTTATATTTTTTAAATGATTTCAGATGCTCAACATCAGCTGCAATTGGTTTGAAGAAGTCGTAGAGAAACTCACTGTTTCAACCAAAACAACATAACAAATGAAAAGCTGGGATATGAAATATGAAAGGATATGACGTTTTGAATACATACTGGATATAAAATCACAGTCTTCTGTTGTGAAAAAGACTGAACAGCTAGTTGTGTCCTATTAATTGGAGTTATTAGGATAGTTGGTCATTAAGCCATGAGGTCATACAAAACTGTAGGAACTCCTTCACGTGAATAAGAAATAAGTTCCAAACAAAAATAACATAGTACAATTACCTCCTTAGACGCCTTTGAAGATTTAACAGCTGAAGCTTTTTAAGCTCGATCACACTCTTGGTCTTTGCAGATATATCTTCTGATGAACTCACAGATTCCTGTAGATTGGGCAAAAGGCAAAAATCATCAGGATGTAGAATAAATAGTACCAAGGACCTAATTAAGTATTGAACAGACAAAAGTGCAATTAGTTCTTTAGTACGGATTCAATCATGAAAGAGGTTTCCAATAAAATGATCCCAATATCAAAACCGATGAATCTTGACACTTAGAAAACATATATAAAAAAGGTGCAGAAGCCAATCACAAATATAACATTTTAGTCAATTAATGCCCCGACACAGTGGAAGAGGCACAGAAACTATAGAGGTTCATAGACCTGAAATATTTCATCTTATTGAGATTGATTCAACAAATTGACTCATAAAAAGGCATCATGAATCAGTTTGAAGGGTCCTAAAGCAATCAGAATAAAGAAACCTATCGTGGACTGGGAATTTACATGAAAACAATGACATGTCCATCTATATATAGAATTGAATATTCAAATTCAATTAATGATCTGTTCCTATATGCAGAGAGAGAAGCAAGAACCACAAGCAAACACAACAACATAAAACATATATTCAATAATGGTAAAAGATCAGTTTCATTCATCAAAAACATAAAGCAACTAGAGCCATGACCACATCCCACATAGAGAGAGAGAGAGAATCCTAACAAACCTTCAACTCATTGTATCGTATCGCAATTGCCTGGTCTGCTTTATGCCGTTTTAGAGCCCAACTCCGATCAACCAAGAGTTTCTTTTTCTGTTGATCTATAATCCATTTCTGCGACATGGTGTACTGAAGCGATGGTTGCACATTACTTTCTTCATGATCTGCCATGTGCCATATGCCCATTTTCAATGAGTGATCAACTAGGTTGGCGAAAGTAGTTCTCCACTCGAAAAGGGGAAAAAAGACTATCAATGATTTGCTTACTCAAATTACGGCATTCACCTGAAGCGAGACACTCATCCAGTTGAACAGCAGAAGATGAGATGTCACTACGGATACTAATTCCTGCCCGGCCCATGACCTCAGATGGCACATGTTTGATTAGACCAGTTGAAGAAGACACCAACTCCAAATGACTAACAGCAGCCTGGTTTTGCACTTGAGGGTCTGGAGTTCTAGATGATAAAAGAAGTTTTTGTCCATCAGAAAATTCCACATTTGAGGAATTTTTGTTTCCGAATCTTGATCTCTCAGTTTCTTTTGATGAGAAGTCCACTTCGGCCAATCTTCTGGTGGGATTATTTATTCTGGACAATGGTGGCGAGACTTCGGGAATGCTACCTGATTCACCAGAAGACTGTGTTCTCCCTTTATGGTCAAACAGCTCTCTGCGAAAACCATCTGTATAGCAGACTGAATACAATTCAAGAGAAAGCCGGCAGAAAAGGCTAAAGAACACATAAGAAAGCAAAGAATTACCATCTATGGGGAAAGTATTTCCAAGTGCAAGCTCTAAGTGCAGTTTCTTCGGCATCAAACCATTTCTAAAAGAAGAAAGTAAGGTAGAGCTATTAGGTATGACCAACACCCCAAACCAGTTAAACAAGAGACTAGGAGGGTCTAGAATACCTGAACGCTAAAAAGACAAAGCACTGGGCTCTGAGCTGTTTCAACTGTTGCTCATTGAAAGGTGAACCTGATTGCGGTAATCCCTCCAGAGAAATAGATTTTCCAGTACCTCTAAGGCCTGGAGCTCTAATTGCGGCAACTTCACTGTTCTGCCAGCCACCCTGTCATAAAAAATACCATGCAGCATGAGGATGCCAAAGTTCAAAAAACATATCTTCTGTAGGAAGTAAACAGAAAAGGTCAGATCAGAAGACCTGTATGGACACGAACATGCATGTAAATGTCAAAACATCATATTGTTTAACAAAGTAGCAATGGAATGGATACACTTATATAAAATGAAGTTTAATAGCACCAGTAGTCCTTGAGAAAAAAGATAACATGAGAAACTCAAGTAGATTCCTAATACATTTTAATATTGAAACAAACAAACAAAAATCTAGCGTCAAGAAAATAAAAATATATAGAAAGAGAGACACGAAGAATATAATTAAATTCTTTGGCAAACAAGTGCGCAAATGCCCACATTATGTCTCCTGAAGTCCTGATTATACCCAAAGGGTTTTCGTGCATTGAAGTCAATGCAAAGTCCAATCGTGTTAGAAAATTAGGCAGTCAGGGAAGCACATAACTATTGTTGCAATTAACAAAATGTTATGCAGATAATCAAGTTAAATCGGAAGGGACGAAAAAAAATTAATGGTTTCAAGAAAAGCACCTGCAGTGTCTTCTTGTCTACATCTGATGGTAATCCAACATTCAGATTCCCAATATCACCTGAATTTAAATTATATGCAGTACACAACCACGACGAATCAGGTGATTTTCACGCATAAATTAGAAAATATTGCAAATGATAGTGTTTCTTGCGTTTCTATATTTAAATTAAAAATGTTGCATTTGATGGGTGTAGAAAATCATATAAAAGCAAACCGACTGTATATCCAAACCTGGATTACCAGACATTTCCACTTTGCTAATTTTGCCCTTCTGATTATCGCCTACTATGTAAGCATCAAATTGGTGAGAATTGTCTGTATTTGGCTCAGATGAAAATGATGATTCACCCCTTTTTCTCTTTGCCTTTGACTTGACATCTTTGTGATTCATTGTCTCACTTCTATCCTGAGATTGGGAATCTGCTGACCTAGAATCCAAGCTGGCTGGACTCTCATGATCAAAGGATCGATTACTACGAGTTCCAGAACCTTGGTAAAAAGCTTGTGAACCACAGATCGGTCCACCGAGCTGCCTACCAAATGCATCATATTGTAATAACTCATTCTCAACCGAACTTGCTTTGGAAGCATTGGTAACACCAGCAACGTGGGAAGACCCTGTATTCAAATATAAATGCAGCTTAATCAACAACAATAATCCAGAATCAAATCTTCTTAATAAACAAATCCAGAGTAAAAAGCAAGGTATTAGCTATACCTGCCATATGTGCAGAAGCAGAGTCACCCATCTGAGTTCCACCAGCCACAGGAATACGAGATGGCTTCAAAGCTTCAATGTCAAGACCATGTTGATTCACGACAGTCTCCATGGCCCTTGGAGATTTAGAAAGATCGTATCATTAAAACTAAAATATAAGAAATAGACAGCGAAACTTTTCAACAGATGATACAAAATTTTAGGAGGGCAAGGGTCACAATAATCAAGCATAATGAAAGAAGTTAGCCACTTAAAAAAGCGACTACATAACAACCAAGCGAAGCAGAAACTCAATTAGCAAATGGGAAAAAGAAAGGAAAAAGAAGAGTAGATTGAAAAGGATGGCATGACTAACTTTGCCAATTAATCATGATGCCAAGAAAAGGCTAAAATATCTAACTCAGCTAAATGAAACTCGCACCCAGTTTCAAGTTGCACAAGAATGTGGTTGCATCATGCATTCCGTCAAGTAAATCATTCAAAAAAGACATCACATATTCTAGCACCAGAAGATATTTAACCGATACAGAAGTTATATCAAGCATGACTAGTGTAAAGAAAAAGATACCTCGATATGACTTGATACGGCATCGAATGCTCCTTCCCACTGGTTTTCATGTGTTGCAAGATCTAAATCATCTCGATAGAATAAATGCAATTAGAGCACAATATTAGAGCTCCTAAGAGAAATAACACATCAAGTCAAGTCAACCCACACATACCACATAAAGTTTTGCAGCTAACTTCGCAGGTTCATCTTTAGAATCTTGAATGAGCTTGTGCAGAAACTTTGCTGCCTCCAACTCGATATTATGTGAAGATGCCATCTTAAATTCTTAATACAGTTACACCAGTATGCACATCATGTTCAAAACTCCTGCTTCATATTGCACACATGAACATAACATACACCAGTATAATACGGGAGAAGAACATACTGTAAGAGAGAATAAAATTACTCATAAATCCCTAATCCAACTTCCTAGGAGAAAGATGATAGACATGATGGAAAATGGAGGACACTGGCCAAGCAAACTAGACATATGGCAGCAATTTGACTTTGAGACCTTAAATCCAAGCAATCCAGAAGAAATCACCGCAGTAGCAGTGCATGTCAAACGATAAAAGCCAGATTTTGGTCTCAGTCTCTGGCAGGCCTCCACAACACACTTACACAGCCTTGGGAAAGTAAGGGGACTCAACAAAGTAGGAATTACAAACACAGCTAAACTTAGCAATATCCTGCACTATCATTGCCCGAAAAAAAATGATGTACCCAGCTATTTCTTCCGGAAGCAGAAAACCCGTAGAAGCAAACAAGGAAAACCCCTAATTTGATACTAACAAAAAACCATGGTGACAGATAATTAGACGAAATTCAGATTAAAAAAATCGCATAATCGAAGCTATGCATAAAGTCTTAGGTCGCGAACTGAGATAACGCCAACAGAGCTAATATCCATGCGAGGAAAGAACAACATCAGCGAATTCCCCCCGTAAATGTGACCCGGATCAATATAGAACCAAAACAAAAACCCTAATTGAACAGCGACCAGCGAAGAAGAAGAAGAACGGGGAGCTTTACCCTGTCGGCGATCCAACCCGTTGACACCGAAGAAACCAACAGATATCCGGCGAGAGCGCTCTGCTGAGAAGTGAAGCCCTTGCTGATGACAAAAATGGCGTCGCCTTTCAGAACCAAGAGAAAATTGAAATCCCAGCGAGTGACCAAAATTGAAAAACACGTCTTCATATCATATATGTGTGTGTATATATATATATATATATATATATATATATGTACTGCCTTAAAAACAAAACAAAACTCCCAAAAAAAATTGTTTGGAAACTTAATCAATTTAAGTATCTAATGTTATACATCCATCCAAAATTTGGCCAATACAAGTTCCTTAACAATTTTTATATAAAGAATATTATGTCCATTTAAATATTCGAAATTAAATATATAAGATTGGAGTTAAATCAATAAATTATATATAGGAACTGAACTTAATATAAGTATTGATAGAAATATATAAAAAAAAACTTGGGAAGATAATTATTTTTGTAAAAATATATTTTGAGACCCATTATTCGATTTGGGCTAAGAATGTATTTCTATGTGGGCTCCATTCTTTGAATTTGGGCCTACTGCACGTCCACGGTCCACATATTTATTTATCGTCCAATTCTTGGAAAAATAATATATTTAATTAAATTTTAAAAGTAAATTTCTCATGCTCTTTTGTTTTGTAAACTAAGAATTGCCATATTCTACTACTGTTGCATTCCGGTAAAAGAGAAAAGAAAAAAAGAAAGAAAAAAAAGAGAGAGAGAGAGTGGAAGAACAGACAAACGCATCCGAATCGTAACGCGTCTTCATCGCCATGCAGCTCAGGTTCGCGAGGGAGATGATGATGAACAGCGACATTTTGTTTCTTCTGGTGAAGAGATGAACAACGCTGGGTCAGTGTTCTCCGATTTCATCGCGTCTTCGGAAAATTTCCGGCTTTTTTTCGTTTCTCGTGGCTCTTGTCCTTTCGTTCTCTCGCACCGGCCTCACATTTGGTTTAACGCTTCGATTCCCAATTCGTATTCGTTGGAGTTCCTTCGCTTGTTTCTTGTTTTTTCTTTCTCGTCTCATGAACTAGTTGATATTCCTTCGTATGTTTATTGATTGAGAATTCGCCGCTGAAATTACGCTAATGGGTGTTCTTGTCATTCTCCCGCATTTCCCAGAAATCGACTTCTCCGATTGAATTTGGGTTCGGATTCGCTGCTTCTGTGGTGGGTCTCGATACCTTTTGCAGAAAGCTACGAACTTTGAAGGTAATTGATTTTTGATCATTTTCTTGTTTCTTACGATGGTGATCTTTGGGTTTATTAACGTGCTGTGTTCGGAATGTGGTTATTCAGGATGGTTGTCTTATGTATAATCCTTTATCTAGCGTCATGGAAACTGTGAATAATTGGAGAGTTTTAATTATCTTGTTCAGTTATCTTATGATTTTGTCAGTTCCACTTCCAATGGCTGAATGAGTTTTGTCTGATTGGAGAGATGCCTGTACCTGGAAGTCCACATCAGTCTTGTGTCTTATATTTAACCATTACACCATGTCCGTTTATCACCATAACATGATGATACATCATATCCTCGTTTGTCAAAATCCAATTCGCTTCGGTGATGATTTTGTATTAATTTTTTACTGTGGCATACCGATAGATTCTGGTTTTCTTTTGTTGTGTGAAAACAGAGAAGTACACTATTGTCTAGATGGTGTGCTCAGTTGGCAGTGGAAGAATGGCTGTTATGGCTAGGCTTTTAGAAGCGAGGAGTTTCACACAGAATGTTGAAGGTATTAAGAACCGTTCTTCAACCAAGTCCGTCACTTCTGTCTTCAATTCCTGCATATGAACGCCAGTGTTTATCAGAATATTCATCTTTTAAGTAGTCTTTTGTTGTGTATGAATTACTTTTTGTCGTCCAAACCTTTGTAATGTTTTTACTAGAATATATTGGAAACCAGAAGTTAGTGGCTCAGTACATTCGCAAAGAAATCGTTGAGGCGGATGAACCAAATTTACTTGATGAAGAAGGTAATACCTCTATTATTTTTTCTTTTTCTCAATCTCCATTTAGCATCAGTTCTCTATCTCGATAATATCATTTTCTGAAATTACCAGCAAATCACTCATACCATTTTTCCATGTCAGTGCGTATGTAAATCTGGTTTGAAGTATTTGATATGTTGAAATCTATTCACAAGGGATATTAGGAAAATCCATATAAAAGATACCGTCCATGTTGATTCATGGATAAATTATTCCAAAGTTGAATGCAGATATGGAATTTTCTTCTGCACATTCTTGATTATATATGTAGAATTCTTCTGATGTTTCGAGTAGAACTAGTATTGGGTATGCGACTGAGAAATATCATATTGAGGCATGAATATGGGATGAACCCCTGGACTAGGACTAAGGATATGGAAATATATCATTTGTAAAGTCTCTTCCGTAGTCTCTGCTTTATTTTTGCTTTGTTGTTTCCAGATATGCATATGTTCGGTCTGAAGCCTATGGAGGATCCTTTGCAGTTGGTAAGTCTGGGTCCTCAAGTCTGTTTTGTTTTCAATCTTTTCTAGAACATATAAGATTTAGTTGCTACAAGTCAGAGTTTGATTCAATTAGATAAAACATCCTTTCTGCTCTCTTCTAGTCTTTTCTTTTTCTTTTCCTTGTTCTTTTTCTGCCTCAGTCTCTTATCCTCTCATGGTCAGGATGGGACAACACAAGTCACTACTAATTGAAGTGCTAACTTATTTGAACCTTTTGATTAAAAAAATATGTCATAATGATGGTTGATTTCCATTGTATGGGGTCACCGGTAACTTATTAGTCTTCTAATGCTTTATGAGTGACTGATGTAATAATGCTTTATCATGTTTAAGATGTTGAGTTATAATAATGAGAAACTTGACTTTCAAGGAGTTTCATGACCCATATCTAACTAAACACAGTTAGCTGATGGTTTCGGATGCATTTTATCATGATTGAGGTAATGCTAAACATTGATCTTTTCCTTGTATCAGTTGAAGAAAGCCCCAAAGTTGTAGCTTATGTAGATGCCATTTCTGTTCTCACTGTTTTAGTTTTTTACTGGACCTTGGTGTGAAGTTTTCAGCTGTTGTGTCAGTCCATTCTTTTTTCTTTTCTTTTCTTTTTTTGTAATTTATTAGTTCCTAGTGTTTCCCATCTCTGCCTGACGGGAAGTACGATGACCAGTAACATGCAATGTTTTCAGTCATGTACATAACTGACTTTTTTGTCAGCTTCTTCCCAGATATATTGCCATGCTTGTAAGAAGCCAATCAAAGCGAGTCACTTCGCAGCTCATGCAGGTGCTTAATGGTTTTTGTACTTCTTCAATTAATGAAGATTATGAGGTTTGGAGATTTCCTGCACTTAGAAAACCATTTGGATGAAAAGGCCTGGTTCAGTTTAGAAGCTAAATGCAAACCTGGCCTTTACTGCCAAATAGAAAGCATGATTCCTAATTTCCCTTTTGACTAGCTATCATCTTGATTTAGCTATTGGCCTTTTTTTCCCGTATGGCCCCCATTTCATGATGTTTAGTTTAATAATTAGTGTTTTTGTCTGATCTTGTCAGATCTTTGTAGGTTTTTGAGCAGTACAAGGGACGCAAAAGCTGATCTTGACTACTGTACTGAACGCAGAAAACCTCCTCGACGAAAACAAAAGGGACAATTAGTCTCAGTTAGTGCTAGTATCCTTTTTATAGAGATGTTACGTTGCTTATAACGGGATGACTTGAGTTTTATATCGCCTAGAGACACTTCTTTTATATTTAACTGCAGGCTGATTTTTGTGTTCACCCTTTTGTATCCTTCACGTAGACCTATACCAATTTTTAGTTGACAGAAAGCAAGAGACTGGAAGCCCGATGGATGCACATGATAGCATCACAACAGAAACTCACGACAATGGAGAACTTAGTTCCTTCTTCAGTGTCGCAGAAGGTATGCTCCCCACTTGTTTTCGGTTGCCTATTCTCTTGCTTTCCTCAGATTTCAGACAAATCTTGTCACACATGTTCTTTAATATAACTTTTTTTTAATTCTCCTCCTGTTCAGCTGGTAATTATACAAGGTGCACACTTTCACAGAGTCAATACATAGATCACAATTCTGCTGATGATACATGCCACCGTGATCTTCATGACAATCATGTGCAAAATCAAAGTAAAAATTTTGATCTTTTTCTTCTAAATCTGCATCTTCTCCTTGACACGATTTACTGATATGTAAAAAATGCGAATTCATGACTACTCAAATTTTGCTCCTCTATTGCTGACATGACATGGGCCTTTCCTGATTTCTCTGCTTGTTTGTTCTGCAACTTAAGCAGATGTTCCAGCTCCTCTTGCCACCAAAATTTACTACTCTCAAAGAAACAATCGTCTCAGATCTGAAATTGGTTACATGTTCCAAGCAGCAGATGCTCAAGAACTTGATTATGATGTTACTGCTCACGCAACGCAACAAAATATTACACAACCAAAGTTCTCATCTCAGAGTAGTTCTCCGCTTGGACAGGTAAAATACATATTTTAGCTCTTAAACCGTAACATTTATTTCTGCAACATGGTAGGCATCGGACAAGATGTATTGAAGCGCTGTTACTTGTAATAGACAACCAGAAAAAGGAAGGACATTAGACTGAAATCCATCCTCTTGAGGCCTATCGGCTTGTTTTGCAGAATTCTGACGCTAGGCTGATGGTGGAAGGATTGATGAACTTTGCTGGTGGCAGCTCAAGTCAATCCTCTATTGATGGAGCTGTAAGGCAAGAAGCTTTATCCACAATACCGCAAGGTACTGAGATTCTAATTTTTCTTCTTTGTAATGCAGATGTTTTAGTTCCAAACCCATCTTCGAGTTTGCCATCTTTCATGGAATTAGATAACATATGGTATGGAGATCATTTATTTATTTCTGTCCAGGATCTACACAAGAAAATGTGCAAAGAACAGATGGAGATGCTCCATGTACAGACATCTTTGGTCAGCGATACTACTAGGAATTGTGTTAGATGACTCCAAAGTCGGAATCCAACTTTTGTAAAGCTAGAAATCAGTCATGCAATTATATTCCTTCTCGCCTCACCCTCTCTCTCTCTCTCTCTCTTTCTCTCTCTCTCTCTCTCTCTCTCTCTCCCTGTCTCTCCAGCCTAAATGTTGATGTGTCTGCAATTCTTTTGATGTTCATTTGTAAGCATCCTATATGTAGGTAAAGCCTTGACTACCCCATGAGGAGATATTCTTGTATAAACATTGTCTATAATAGAATGACATTCGGGTTTCAAAGATGTACCATCACATTTTTCGTGGGAGACGACAAACACTCGACCAACTAGGAGACGACAAACACTCGACCAACTAACCAGCCAAGTTGAATCCTTTATTATTGATATCACCCTACTTGGTTTGTAATCCACTAGATTGTATTTCAACAAGCCTCCAGAAGCAGAGGAACCCAACCCGGGAAATGTAACTCCTCCGCGGCGGATCCTTCTGTACAAAAGCAAAGCTTTGATTGGTGATCCTCTGGAAAGATGACTCCTTATGAGATTAGACACATGAAAGTGATCTGGGCAGAAGGGTTCTTCCAGTTTCCTGAGCTCTGTATCATCAATGGATCGGAATTGACCCCACCAGTGAACAGAACGAAAGAAACTACTAGAGAGCGAAGACAGGGTAAGAAACCGACAAAGCTTGTCTTTTTTTGTCCGGTTCGGTATTCTTAACCGAAAGTTTAAATCTTGTTGCCGCTTTACCGGTTCAATTCGGATTCTGGAGTCACCATCACACCAAATCGTCGTTAACGTGCTCTTTAGGGAGAGGAGAAGTTACAGATCGTTCTTCGCCACAAATTCAGAGAGCGTAGAAAGGAGTTTCCAGGTTCAAAAATCATGAACGTGGATCAATTTTCTTACAATTCACTACCATTCGACATAGTTCTCAAAATCGTATCTTCTCTTCAGGTGATGTGTTCCTCTCTCGTTTCCATTTCTTTTTACTTTTCTGATTACATGTTTTGTTTTTGCCGCGAATTTTTCAGCGGTTTATTCTGTTGAATCTGGTAGATTTCCATCGGAAGTAATCTGGGTTTGTGTTCCTTCGGATGGTTGAGCTCTAACCTCTTAATCTGGGCTCTTTCTTCTCTGTCCGATCAGATTCTTGAATCGTGGGTTCTCCAAGTTGATGACTTTTTTGTTGTCTGGTTTTTAGGTGTCTGATCTTTGTTCGCTGAGTAGCTGCTCTAGGTTTTGGAGGGAGCTGTGTGGCTCTGATTGCATATGGGAACCTCTTTTCAGGGAAAGATGGTCCTTATTGACCTCTTTTGATGTTCATTCTACTCTATTTCCTGGAAATTTTCAGGTAATACAGAAATATTTGAGGGATGGATCGAATCAAACTGTTTGATGACAGCTTGTTTTTTGTTTCTTCATATGGCTTCTCAGGAAAAACAAGAACCCAAAGTTAGGATTTTGCCTAGCATAGTGTTTGATCTCATGTCATTTGATCGGGAAGGCACATATGATTCTTGAATACTTAGGAAACATTGCAGGTATGGAGAAGTCTGTACATAATGCAGCACAACAGAATATCTGATAGAGCCCGAACTCTGATTACGTGTGTGAAACATTCGTCAGCTTCAAGGTGTTTAGAAGCCGGTGTTTATCTACAAGCCGTTGAAGCCATGAACTCAATGCATTTAGGTTTCCAAGACGTAGAATTATTCTTCTTCAGACAAAACCCGGATGCTCTATTGAATGCAATCGGACTCATATACTGCATCTGTCAGCTGAAAGTGCCGGTTAGATTCCACGAGTTCTCTTTGTTATTCAGTCAAACTTCTTGAGAAAATCTTGCAGGATTGTGAATATCTTTCCCACTTACACAGGGCAAGCAAATCTATGATGCACTTATTCGCTGCAAGATCTCAGAGCAACAAGTGTGGGTGAGATGGTGGAAGCTAGGAAGATGGTCTCGTGTGGGACGAATGAGGGATGAAGCCACTTCACGCCAGGTATCTTTCATGGATCTCGCAACAGGCAAAGAAGAAACCGTTCTTCGAGTTCTTCAACGTGGGGTGGTTCACGAGATTCTACGGGTTTGTATCTCTACTGTTGATCCGGCATCCACTCCTTGTAGCAGCAGTAGTGTCAGAAACTACTGAAACTCACAGTCTCTGCAAGTGAATCATGAAAAGTGGTTTTGCATAGAGATGGGTGCTGCATCAGCTAGTTTGTAAACGTTTGCTTATGTTTCTCCTTAGCATTGTCCTTTTGGTGGTTTGACCTGTATACACTTTTGTGATTCAAAGTTATGTAAATGTGTATGTAATCCAGATATGTGAAATAAATCCATTATAATTCTTCAGCATATTCTTGCTAATTTCCAACATGAAAGATCATATTGAGCACAATGTGCAAGATCCATAAAACACAAACTCATTTACAGCAACCAATATCCTCATGCATGATCAGCGCTGTTGTGGCTAATTACTCTGTAATGAATTGTCCGGACAGCCTACAGGAACAATCCGCATGTACTTTCATCACTAGAAGGAAGAATGAAAGGACTTGGTGCAAGAGATTACTACTTCGATACTCCGAGAAAATGGGCAAAGCTTGGATACTTCGGCTCCCATCCAATCTCGGCTCGTGTTTTTGAGTTGTTCAATTTCTTTCCTAATGGGCCACTGGTGCCTGCAGAGCAAATCCATTATAGCCCCTATGAGTTGAAGCTGCCAAAATTAGATAGTTGCTATTCAGTCTCTTAGAAGCTTGCTTACTTGTAAAAGCCTCAAACTTCTTGTCATATTTACCGCTTTTGGCAACCAAGTCCATCACCTCTTGCCTGGGAAGACAAGGATCAACTGGTTCAGCAAAAACTCTGAAGTTCTATGAACAGATGATGACAGAAAACAGAACCATACCTTGACAAAGGATGGTTGTCGCAGCCCAGAAAAATCTGACCACGGAATTTCTTCTTCATGGTTGCAACTGCCAGAGATGCAGCATCCTGTCGCAATACACATTTCAGAACACGATAAAAGAAATTCTAAAATGCGATACTGATTTTCAATATACACGAAGATCGTATACATCATAAACTATTACCTCATAGTGTATAAGATTCAGAATATGGTCAGGACGAGCATCAACTGTCCCTTTACTCAACCAGTACGTGTGAGCTCCTCGATCAGCTGTGTACAAAATGTTCAGGAAACGTGAAATATTCATTGCTGACAAACAAAAGAAGCCCTATATTTCTCACTCTGCAGAATGTGTCAATAATTTCCAGAAATTTTAAATTGACAAGAGAGGATATGTAAAGCCCTGCCAGTCTAAGGACAACCCCTCCATGTTCCAGCACTACTTTTTCAGCTTTCAAAAGAACATCAGTTCTAGGGCTCTTGCCCAGTGGCACAACTGGAGAGTCCTGCATAATAGAGCATTCAACATAAGGAAATGCTTCTACAGCTCATGAAACAAGTATATCTATTTGACATGCCCCTAATGATTGTTTTGCAAAGAGAATTGACAAGGTGAAGTAAAGTTCAGAACCCATTATCAATCATCATTTGATTAAATAGTTGAGTTTGATAGATTTTCTGAGATCATTAGTCCAAACTAATAGCAACAAAAATTTTCAGATGCTAGAGTTTAATAACTACAGAAAACTTTTGTTTTGGGGATGATAATTTTGTTATTTTCCATCTAAAGGGAAATCAGAAGTAGAGATGTAAAATTCATGTACAAAGATGAACCTCGTTGCATTCCCCATTATCAAAGCAATCATATGGTGCAGAACTAGATGTGAACAGGAATGATCCCTCTCCGTTCCAGTTTGAGGCAGCCAACCTGATCCATCCAACCATCCATTACAGAAGCATATAGCCATGCAAGACATGGTTGAATCAATGCAGAAGAGACCTAGTATTTCCATTCTCATAATTTTGCATCACAGAGACAATCCATAACACCACTTGAAGTTTAGCTTTGGCTTTCTGCCTATAAACAAATAGATAATCCATCTAATTGCACAAGAGGCCTCACTTTTATGGCATTCAGTAACAACACTTAATGTGGAGCAATACTATATGGAAGAAAATAGGATTAAGTCAGGAGACATGTAGTTGAATAGAAGGTTCAACTTACTATTGAATCTTTGAAAGTGATTTCTCGTGGTTACCTGAGATCACCTGCATAGTCTAAGGATTGTGAAGGAGGAGCACAAAAGATCACATAAGGGAACCTGCCCGTAAAGGCGGATCCTTTGAGAGACGGTTTGATACCCAACTTCTCCAACTCGTCGTGATGATTCGTTGTCACTGTCTGCCCATAAATTTGACAATCTGGGTATTCCTGCTACACAAATTAAAGCTCTCACTCTAACAACAATATGGCCAAACATGCTTCTTATTAAGAACTTTATGCATCGACACAGGAGATCCAACTTGTCCGCAATATTTTCCCACCATTCAATTTTGGACTCCATAAATCAACAACTGTCATATGGATAAATACTAAGAAACACAAAACAAGGTAACCATGATATCCACATAAAGAGAGAAAGTTAACCGCAATATATGACCGAAAAATCAAGCATAATCTTCAGAAAATAAATCTGACAAAATAAGATTCACATCTTCTCCTTAATTCCCCTTTTTTATACTCAGAGAACAGTGGAGAAAGCTTTTGTCAGCTTAACACATAGCATCTAGAATATGTTGTTAAAATATTTATGTAAAAGGACATAGTTTAGGCATGACTAATCCCAATTTCTTAAACTTCAGATTGATCCAGCGAAGAATGCACTTATGGTCCTATGGAGTATATAATGTTCACAAAACAACCATGTAAAAATGATACAAATTCAATGTCCCATGAATTACTATACCTCTCTCCATTTTTCTGCCACTAATCGTCCTAGAACACCTGGTCCAACAATCAGCAAATCATCTGCCCCAATTGAAACACGAGTCACAACCTCCACACTCTGGTTGGTCTCGCCTTCATCAAAACCCAAACAACACCACAGAAATCAATAAGATGCAAAGTTAGAACCAAATGTCAAATGTCGTTTGCATAAGAAGCAACAGTATCACAAGATATTACCCCATTCCAGGCTTTTCTCATCCTTTCTGCTAACATAAGCAAATCACTAGTACAACATAAAAGGACAAACTCCGTACTAAGGCCTAACCATTGTTCAGACAAGTTAATACTTGTTCAGATATGCAAGAACAGCCCCTAAGCAACTGCTAAATCTTAGCACTGACATCACAAAAATTTTGATTTACTCCACCAATACAACAACAAACTAACCAGCAATACTATCTTAGCATCGTAACTGTTAAACACTACGGATGAAACATTTGCAAATAGCTGACTAAGACAGACAGGACATAAGATAAAACAAACCTCTGCAAAAGCATCCAGATTTTTTTACATTTGATGACCCTAAAAACATCTAAGAAAGCCGTCGAATTGAATCCGAGATTAACCACATGCCATGATTAAAAAAAAATGCAAGAAACACATACCAGCAGTGGAAGAAGAAGAAGATTGAATAGGCGTCGCCATCATCGAAGACGATGACGAGAATTTAGCCTTTTTCTCAGGAAATCGGGCGATTCCAAAAGCGAGAATCGACGAATGAGAAGAAAAAGCTGAAGACGATTGTTTGGAGAAATGGGTCGAGAGAATTCTGCGTCTGACGGTAGGAGATGGGACACAATAAATGGAACCCATTTAGGAAAAGATTCTACAAAGTCGCCTCTTTTATTTCAAAGCTGCAAATAACCAATTTTCTGTGAAACATTGGTTACTGTTCTTTAGCGTGTGACCAATGGTCATTTCCCACGTTTTCCCAAATGCCCTTCCTTTATTTTGTCTTTAGTACCCACATAATTCTTGCATGTTACTCCTCTTGCTTCTTCTTCCTCTCCTCTCCGAAGAGACGATCCCGGCGTTTGCGTTTTAAATGCGCAAGGGCCCAAGAGTGCGTTTGCGGTTGTAGGTGATTCCCGACCTTCGATCCTTCACCGATTCGCTCCGATTCGACTCTCGTTTGAATAGAACGGAAATGAACGCGATACACTGGAGATACGAATTCAATACTGAGGGGAACCTCGGTACCTACGTCTCGGAAAGAGGAAGTGATGTGTCTAGGGTCACTGAGCGTCACCGGAACCGTCGAATGGCACCAGAGACACGCACACACCCGGCGAGAGAGAGAGCTCTCGGTCGTAAGAGAGAGAACCGAAACACGAGTCTGAGGAAAAAAAATGCTAACCCTAGGGTCTCATAATTCGACCTTTACAAAGTACCAATTTACCCCTCAGACTTTCTGTTTTGTTCCGAAGCTTTGAAAGCTTCCACTTCACAACCTCTCCTCCATTTGGAGACTTTCCTGAAGACACTTCACAAATCTCCACCTTCTTCTACAAATCCTGCAAAAGAGACAAGAACACGAAGCAAAACAACATCAAACCTGAACCCTAACACTTCCCTTTTACTTTCATTTATAACTCTCCCTCCCGACATGATCCAAAGTGTATTGGAACGCCGTTATTAGGAGGGTTCTTACCGAACGCACCATAAGTACGTCTCAGCGTGAATAAACAATATAAACACGCAAATCCTAGTCTACCCAAAACGAGTGTTCGAGTATCCCTCGACTCTTCGCGTTTTCGAAGACTAACGAAATGACCTCGAATAGTTATGACTCCCTACATCGTCTACATAACTCTCTCCGATGAAGTCTAAAACTTCACATGTGCACCCTTGAGAGTTAACCCCGACATCTACCCATCTTCTGAGTCTAACCTGACTTCCTCCCGAGGCTAACCTGAGTCCCCGCGAGACGAACCTGCTAGACGATCTAGCCCTGGATCCCCGTAAAGTCTACACCACCTATGAGTTAGTGACTTCTACCCACGGACCCTAACCAGCTAACTAAGATTGTCCCACGGTTTTGTCTCGTGAAGACGCTCCTAGTTATCTACGATGCTCCACCGAGAATGAGACACGTGAATGCACGTGTTCCACCCCGAGAGGGAGTGTCCTAGCGCTCCAACCTACACCGACTCTATCCGGTGAAATCCTAATACCTCCCAACTCACACCATCTCCTGAGTATCCTACCCGAGAAAGCTTCACCTAAATGTGGAGACCTCACCTCCAGACCTACCGTTGAGAACCAAAGCAACTTCGATTACTCCTCCGAGGTCAACACGTCCTTATACCTCGGACTCTCCCTTCTTCATCATCCGGGACCTCCAACACCTTGTAATGTCCCTACCTATCCGCAGAACCAATCACTCCACCTAGTCCTTGGCCTTCTCCTGCAACCCGATTTCTCGGGTTTTGCCCGAGACTCCTAGTCCTTCCACCATATCCCTTTCAGGGTATCCCTAATTAGAAAACTAACTCCATCATCCTAACCGCTACCTTTTTCTCCTCTACCGACACCTAGGGTTCGGATTTACATCCGAGACCCCACTACAAGGCATATCCTACTAGAGAGAATTACAAATCATGAGGTTTCTAGCACTTGACTCCTTGTTTGTCTCTATTTGAGACCCAGAGCACACGATACCTTAACCTTTGGTTCTATTGACTAAGGGAAAAGAATCGTATGGCCTCCCTTAACCTCGGTTTTCCGAGCTGGAATATCTTGGCTCACCTCACCTGACTTCTCCCAAGGGATGATTTATCCCTTACCGTGTCTACTAACCGAGTACTAACTGGTAACACTAAAAGAATCTTAGGATGATATAACCTGAGTCTAAGCTGACTCTACCCGAAAGTGACTTAAATGACCCTAGGAGTGACTAAACCATGACCTAAGGGAAGAGACTGAATCCTAGAGGACTTAACCCTAGGTATATTTCTACCTAACCGTGCTTGATACGCTCTAACTCTAGTATATCGGTCCTAAACCTAGATACGTCTCTACCTACTCAGACCTACTAGACTAGGAGATCACGATATGACTGAACTTAACCTAGGTACTCAACCTAAACCGTCTAACGGACTTTTAAACCAAGCCTAAACGGATTTCACCCTAGGTACATCTTACCTAAATGGATCTAATAAACATTAGGCCAGACCTGATTAGACTTAACACAAGATATATTTCTACCTAACCGACCTCTTAGACTCTCGCACAAACCTGTTTGGACTTACTCTAGGCATAATTTTACCTAACTGACCTATTAGACTCAAAACACAACATATCTTAAGACCTGATTACATCTAACCAGACCTAACTTAAGGTTAACCTGACCTGATTACGTCTAATCAGACCTATAACACCGAGTCTACTTGGTCCCCAACAAAGTCCTAACCAGTCCTACGATCCGGAGTCTACCTAGTCCCTGATAAAATCTTAATCAGACCTAACTCAAGTGATATCTAGATCCTAACAACCCCAGTTAGATAACCAAAAGCCCAAACTAGACCAGAAAACCTAATCAAACCTAAGTCAATCCTAATTAACTTAACCAACCCCTGATTAGTTACCCTAATTTCTAGTCAATCACCTAAACCAAGCATATTGACTAACCAACCCCTGATTAAACTTTTAGTACCCTAATTAGACCTAGACTAAGCCTAATGAAACCTAATTCTCCTCTGATCAGGCCTAATAAATACCTAGAGCCAACCCTTATAGACCTACCTTGATCTATACCGATCCCTACAGACCTATACCTAGTTATTCTAGACTTAACCAACCCCTAAACCAACCCATTTTAGTCAAATCCCAACTAATCAGACCTAACCGGTCAAAGTACCAGACTCTATGACTAAAAACAGGTATTTAAGAGTTCTATCTAGTCCTAAACTAGATAATACATAAGTCTACAATTAGATTCTAATCTGATCAGACCTAGACAATTCTCTATAGTCATTCTAAACCTCTAATCAGAGCTAACCAAGCCTATTTTGACTTAATTTCCTACTAATCAGACCTACACTATGCTAGATCAACCCAAATTTATCTTAAACCAGACCTAACCAAGATCCAAACAGCCCTTACAGATCTATACCCACGTAAACCAGTCAATGTCAGACCTATACCAGCCTATTTAAGTCTAACCCGACCTCTTATACAGCTAAACATAGTCAAATCCAACTATTCAGGCCTATACTGAACAGAAAACCAGAATCTATGACCCACAATAGCTAAACCGAGATCTAAAATAGGTCTAACGCTAGTGCATTTCACTAAACCAAGCTAAATTGGATATTAAACCGATCAAACATGGTGAAACCAATCACTACAGAACCTAACATACCCTAAACCAGTCCACTATGCCCTAAACCAGACATCATCAGACCTAATTTGGACTAACCTAACCCTAAACCAGTTAATTCTAGTCTTAATTGTACACTCCAGACTCTAAACCGATCTAATCTAGTCCTAACCACGAATTCAGACCCTAACATGATCAATACTAGTCCCAAACAGATAAACCAGACCTAAATCAGACCTATTTCAGCCTATACCAATCTAGATTTACCTAAACCGAACCTAATTGATCTAAGTCAGCATAAATTTACCACTATTGGACTTATTGATGCGAAGTGGTCTGAATTAGATAGAACCGAATAAATCATACCATTAATCAGACCTAAAACGGTTAGAACCGATCTGATTTGACCTAAACCAGACCTAGGTTAACCTGAACCAAACTCAATTAGCCTAAACTGGACCTGGACTGACCTAAACTGGACCTAGACTAACCTAAACTAGAGCTGGACTGACCTAAACCGGACTCAATTAACCTAAACCGGACTCAATTGACCCCAAACCGAATATGAACCGATCCGGTTTGACCTAATCGGTCAACTGTTGTCCAATTTTGGTCAACGGTTTGACCTGACCGATCTAAACCGGTTCAATTTTAAAACGAGCCGGATGTAATTACCAAATCGGATTTAAACTAGCTAAACCGGTCTAAACCAAAAACCCTAATTTCGGAAACGTTAGCCGCTGAGTTAACTCGGTCATTGACTCAACCCCGGAATCTGACTCAGCCGTGACTCTGTGAGTTACGACGGATTTCGCCGGTTTTTCTACCGGTTCTCCCCACCCAACCCTAGATTTACATACGCATACTCGAGATTTTACCTGAGTCAGCTCGTAACTCGTCTGAATCTTCGATCTGAGTTAGCTCCGAGAGCCTATCAACGTCTTGCCACCGATCTGAGCCATTCCCACCGTTCTTGATCGCCGATCTTGTCACCGATGGCCTCTCCGATGTCGTTTATTGCCTGAAACAACTCGATCACGCGTTAGAACTCTCAGAATCAAGACCCAGGGAACCTTGACTTACCTCGACCGCGATTCTGCCACCGATTCGCCGTGCCTCGCCTGCAACCGGGCTCTGATACCACTTGTAGATGGTTCCCAGCCTTCGACCCCTCACCGATATGCTCTGATTCGACTCTCGTTTGAACAGAACGGAAAAGGAAGTGATGTGTCTACAGGAAGAGGAACGAAAACGGAAAAGAACACGATACACCGGAGATACGAGTTCAGTACCGAGGGGAACCTAAGAACCTAAGTCTCGGGAAGAGGAAGTAATGTGTCTAGGGTTACAGAGCAAGAACGTCGTCGGAACCGCCGAACGGCACCGGAGACACGCACACACCCAGCTAGAGAGAGAGAGAGCTCTCTGCCACAAGAGAGAGAACCGAAACACAAGTCTGAGGAAAAACCGCTAACCCTAGGGTCTCATAATTTGACCTTTACAAAGTACCAATTTACCCCTCGGACCTTCTGTTTTGTTCTGAAGCTTTGAAAGCTTCCACTTCGCTAGGAGACTTTGGGAA